CAGAAATTTTATTAATAAAAAATTTCCATTTTGAGCGAAATTCGGGCGTTACTTTTGCCGCCCACTGTACGTACGTACGTACGTATTAGTATAAAGATCTAAAGTTGTACTACACTACTTTAAAAAGTCTTGTATGTACGTACGTACCAAGCATCCTACTATAGCATTTAAGGTTACGTACGTATGTATGTACGTAGTGCCCAAAATTGATTATCTGTTTATTTATTATTATCATTATCTGCTTATTTTATTATATTTATTATTATCATTGTCATTATTGCCATTATTGTGATATTTAAAAATATATCTCGATCTGACATAAAGGAATTTCTTACAGTACTAGAGATTGAAATCTATGGGTTTTCCCGAGCATCGGATGATTTTTTTTTCAATTTATAAAGCTCCTCTATTAAAAATCAAAATCAGACTGTTATAGTTTATTCGTCTGAGATTTTCTGGTACTTTCCGTAGGTTGCCTATTGTGATTTCTATATATGCTCCGGTAATTTGTTTATCTATTATCGGTTCCTGATATCTATCTCAAATTAGTATTAACATACAACACAATTTCTCAGTAAATTAGTAATCTACTTCCATTAATATACACGGCAATAAAAAGGTTACGACAATGTGTTCCAATTAACAGGTTTTTAGCTTGTTAAACAAAAAAAGTCTAACAACATTATATTATACAATTAGCCTTATGATTAAAACCGCTCTTTTAATTGGATTAAGTTATCTATTCATAGAACCTTTGGAATATATAAATATGTGGGTTTATCATAGGATGTTTTATAAAAATGTCATCCGCCATGAATCTTGATGATGTGCCAGATCCGACTCAATCCGAATTATCGAACATTGGATTAGCTGTGCAAAGACTTTGGGAATTGGATAAAAATAGATTAGAACCCGGTGTTGACGTATGTAATTAACAGATAGTGTTAGTGTTTGTTCATAGCTTTCATAAAATCATACGCATTAATGATATACATGTAAATTTTAGTACACTCTCAATGTGTATATATCACATGGAAATGGTAATTCTTAATATTTTATTAACTATATCTATATATTTTACCGATTCAATTAATTAATAACAATTTTCGAAAAAAAAGACCACAATGCGCCCGCACCCAAACCTTTATTTAACCATGTGGATAGGAAAGTTACTTCAATACCAACTTATAAATTTTTTTATGCACTACTTGACAATTACATTCCTCAAACTGGAATTCCTGAAGTTGTTGATGATTCTGAACTAAAAGAGAATGAACGCTTTTTAAAGGCATGTTTACAAACTGGACCATTGCTTTATGCATTTAAGGTATAGTATTAATATTGTTTTTCAAGATGTTTGTGAAAATTTATACATTTGATGATATTTTAATTAAATTGAATTTTCTTTAAGTATCTCCAAGCGAAAGGAGCTGTGAAAGGAAATATCGCTGATTTTGAAAAAGAACTTAATGAAATGTGGTTTAATATGTACAGAAGACAAGGACATGGTGAAGATTCTAGGTAATATCTAAAGACAATTAATTATCGATCATCAAATAGTGATTAATACTTAATACTGTCATATTAAAAAATTTTAAAGTGCTTTTGAGCATGTTTTTTTGGGTGAAGTTAGGAACCACGAAGCAAAGGGTACGAATATAATTTTATTTATCGTATTTGATTTTATAACTTTTCTAATCGTTTGTTTTACTTCTAGCATTTCATAATTGGATTACATTTTATTTCTATGAAAAAGCTGGTAAAATGACTTTTGAATCCCTTATTCCCTTAAAGGAAGGACATAGTAAACACATTAATGTAAGTAATTACATTATCATATATCTTAATTCATTTCAAAATTTCTCAATCTCCCATATTTATATAAACAGCCCAGTGGAAAAGAACATGTAATTACCTTACGATTCTCTTTTGAAGGAGCAAGAAAACCTTTTTCTACATCATTCATTGGTACTTCGCCTGAATTTGAGTTGGCGATGTATACTATGCTTTTCCTGCTTAAACACTCTGATACTCATGTAACTTTGGATGACGCTAACTTGAATCTTAAAATTTATCCATTTGATCAAAACGGAATTAGATTTATTGGTTCTGCATTTCCAATGATTCTTGATCCACTCAAATAGTTAGCGTTAAGAATTTAGTAACAGTACATCTGTATCTATATACTTTTTATTATCAGTTATATTACGTATTATTTATTATATGTTTTTTATGTATGTGATATACCCCGGTGTAACAATCATATAATAAATTGACCAGTTAAAATTACGATCCGATACAATAATTTTTTCTCTTTCAAATTCAGAATAATAAACTGAAAATGGCTTCAATCGTTGATAAAATAAAAGAAAGTTGGGCATCACTGCTTTGCACACCTTATTTTCGATCATGTTGACGAGCTTGGATCAACGCTAATGATGCTTTTTTACATACTGATAGTTGAGGCCGAAATGGCCCGTACCCAAAAGAACAAGGCTACATCATACCATTTAGGAACTTTAAAAGCTAAATTGGCAAAATTACGTAAAGAATTAATAACTCCCAGTACTGGAAGTAGTGGTGGTGGTGGTGGTATGTTTTTCCACCTTTTGGTTTCGAGATCTGTTAATCTACAAGTTCATGATCTAAATTGAATTATTCAGTTGGATTCGACGTTGCAAAAACTGGTGTTGCTCGTATCGGTTTTGTCGGTATGTGCTTTCTAAAATCATAAATTTCTTTCAATTTATGTTATAATAATGCTATAATGATAATATTAATATTTAATCTAATTTTCGCTTTACAGGTTTTCCATCTGTAGGCAAGTCGACACTGATGTCAAAGTTGACCGGCACTTTTTCGGCTGTTGCGGCGTATGAATTCACTACTTTGACTACAGTGCCAGGTGTGCTTCAATATAAAGGTGCTAAGATTCAAATTCTCGATCTACCCGGTATCGTTGAAGGTGCAAAGGATGGTAGAGGTCGTGGTAGACAAGTAATTGCGGTAGCCCGTACTTGCTCTCTCATCTTCCTAGTACTCGACGTTTTGAAACCTCTTACTCATAAAAAAATTATTGAAACTGAATTGGAGGGGTTTGGCATCAGGTTAAATAAGAAACCTCCAAATATTTATTTTAAAAAAAAGGAAAAGGGAGGTATCAACATGACGAACACGGTTCCATTAACCCATTTAGATTTGGATCAGGTTAAAGCAGTGTTAAGTGAATATAAAATTCACAATGCAGATGTAAACTTTAAATGTGACGCTACCGTCGATGATTTGATCGATGTTATCGAGGGTCGTATTTACATACCCGCAATATATGTCCTCAACAAGGTACAATTCAATTAATGAGTATTGTTTTAGTAAGTCTACTATGATTATATTTATTTAAGACTCAATTTTATTTCTTCAGATTGATCAAATAAGTATAGAAGAATTAGATTTAGTATATAAAATTCCGCATGCGGTTCCTATTTCGGCTCATCATGTAACGCTTCTTTCACAATACATAAATTTCTTTTTAATAACTTTCAATATATCATCACGTTTAACATATCGTAATTAATCATAGGAATGGAACTTTGATGAACTATTGGAAAAGATGTGGGAATATCTTAACCTTATCAGAATGTGAGCTCAAGTAATTCAATTTTTCAAATTCTGGTAAAAAATCTAACTTCATTATATTATTATATTATGCTTTAGTTACACAAAACCGAAGGGTCAACTACCTGACTATAGTGCACCAGTTGTTTTGCGATCAAGCCTTTGTAATGTTGAAGATTTTTGTAACAGTATTCATAGGGGAATTGTTAAACAATTCAAATAGTAAGCTATTCCTTGCATAATTTGTACATTTTCTGTACTTTTCTGTTTCACTTTCCTAACCAAAGAATTTTGCACTATATTTAGTGCTTTGGTGTGGGGTAATTCTGCTAAACATCAACCCCAGAAAGTTGGATTGTCTCACGTACTTGCTGATGAAGATGTTGTTCAATTAGTTAAACAATGATTGAGAGATGAGTAACTTGTTAATTTAGTGCATAGTTGGTATCTTCAAACTTGGATCTGACGTTTTTGGACAATAGGCAACGATTAATGATTTGATGAATTAGAATAATATAATGCTATAGCTTTGTAATTTGTTTTTGGTAAATTATTACACTATATGTTGGATCTATCTTTAATGTATATATATATTTGTTATCAGCTATTATTATTAACAAGTAGATGTTTTGAAATCATCTACATATTACGAATTAATCAATTTTATTAAAGTTAATAAATTGAAGAAATTGGCCTCTTAATTTTATTATGAAATAAAATGTGCAAGATAATGATATCGAAGATATAAAGGCGTACGTAACTTAAACGTTCCTTATTTTATAAATTGTAACTCTTAAGTGAAACAGTATTAATTTTTCAAGCCTTTTTATATATGACAGTATCCAGTTACAGTGCGAGAATCCTAGCATCAAATATTTTAAGTTTAAATTGCAAAGCTTTTATCTAAGGGTTTAATTGCGAAAAATATAAGTGGCTTTTAATAAGGTACATTAAACTATGTATTAATTAAAAATTTAACCAGCCATATTCACATTAAGTTATTTATAACTTTATATGGATAATCAAGACTAGTCCCTTTTTTTCTCCACAATCTTTTCTTTACTTTAGTAACTACATGCTCAACTAAAACTTCCTCACAGTAGCGTTTCTTGAAATCACGAATGAAAATCGGATCCCTATTATACAAGACACGTTTAGATATCCCAGTTGGAATACATATACATTAATTTATTAGAAACCTACCAAAGTTCAGAAGCTACTCCCAAATCCTTACAACATCTCATCAATGCATTACTTTTAGCACCTTCTGCAGCGGTAGCTAAGCCAGAAGGATCAAAGTAATCTTGTTCGCCCAGAGCAACTGAGACAAGTCTTCATTTATTGGATCCAAGAAATAGAATTAATTCAAGACAAGGTGTTATATAAGCCTTCTAGAAATTGTTTAAATCATGAAATACCTTCCACAACAGACGAGCGCGTATTCTCGCGATATATTTTTTGGATTGATCGAATTTTCACCACGTGGCGCAAGTCCCCATCCTAGTAAATTCCATTGTCAATTTATTTATTGTACAATTATAATCAATACTAAATAAACAAATCGCGAATACCTCCTGGTCCAAATGCTTTGTTCAATATACGACGATATTTTATTTCCGGTAGATAAATAAGTCCATCTAAAAATAATCAAACATTTGTATTTAATTACACTCAATTAATGAATAAATCTTATTAAACATGCTTTAGTTGATATCTATTTACCAGGTTTGATTTCAATGTCTTCCGAAACAACCGGAGCCAAAAGAACTTCGGCCACTTCTTTTGAAAAAGGTTTAGCAGATAAACCAAAGAATGATTTAGACCAATCCTGCTTAATGTTGTTAGCCGAAATTGTTTTGAGTTTGTAGAAATATTTTGACATTTGATGTTTTGTCTGCCGAAATTCTAAATTATGCCAAACTTATTATTAGCAAGTATCCGAACTTGTTTATTTTGTAGATTTCACGCTATATATCTTAATATAGATTTGATCCAAAAACAGTTCTTGCACCTATCAAGCAGGTTTAATTATACCTATAAATAAATATTGAATATATAATGATAAGAATACTATATATTTCATTTATATATTACATATTCCTGGTTTTAGCATTACGTTCTGTACTAGATATTAGAGATGATATATCTGAAGATTTTATGGCATTTAATATAGTATATATTTATTTAGTCAACTATTTAGTCATTTCGTCAAATTTTGACATTTCGACAAAAAATAATGTCATATCGAAATATATTTCGACACAAAATTGTCTAAATATTTGACGAAATAGGGCATTTCGACTAATAACACTAATCCTGCTCTGTCGATATGCCCTCAGAAAGATTCAATCCTCCCGTTTGTTCTGCCTTGTTATTTGGTGCCTCAGAAAAAAAGTCAGTCGTAAGCGCAAACCTCTGTAGAACTTGATTCTAACGCGTTATCATATTCAAGATTTGCTGTGGGGTTGTTTTTGGCTTCTTGAGTAAAGAATATATATGATCGTTATTGTATAAAGACTGTTATAACGAGATCTTATATTTATGATATTTATACAGTAAATGACTAATAACGCGTTTTACTCTTCCTATACTCTTTAATTGAAGTGTTGACCTTTGAAATTTGACGAACAAACACGTTTTTTGTCGAAGCACTCTTTTAAATGAAGCCATATCGTAATCACGAATTCAAATATGGTCCCGGATATGTAGATTACTTTTTTTGATTACACTCTTATCACTTTTTGAAAACTCTTATCATTCTCTTTCTTATAACAGACTGCTTTATAAAATTTTTATAATTATTATTAAAAATTATATAAAAGAGAATAATAAGAGCTTTTAAATAAATACTATTAATTAAATATTGAGGTAAAGTACTATAATTTTTAAATTTAAATAACTTTTTATCTACTGGTCCGTTTTGGATGAAACAACTACCAAAATGTTCGTTTTAATGAGACGATTCTAGCAAGCCTAAAATCATCAAAATCCACTTACTGGTTCCTGAGATCGTTAAGGTTTTTATAGAGTGGGTTGGGATTCAGTAAGGGTAGAGATATTATTATCTGATTTTTTTTTATCAGAGATTTACCCCCCTTCCCAGCTTTTAATATATGATTGATCAGGTGTTATATATGAAATTTCAATTTTTTTGACCCTTTCCCCCTGATAAATATCTCTAAGTGGGTTTGATGATTTGGGCTTGTTAGAATTGTCTTACTAAGATAAACATTTTGGTAGCTGTTTTATTCAAAATGGACTAGTAAATAAAAAGTTTTTTTTTTTAATTTGGCAATACTTTATTAGACACACTGTGTTTATATACAAGTATGAATTTTATAGTCAAAAGATCTAAATTTTTCTAATTTATAATTTATAAATATTAATTAATTTTGGCTTTTTGTAACCTTGTTCAAATTATCTATATTTGATCTGCTATAGTAAACTTTTATTTTAATACAAAACCATTTTATAATATAGATAAAATAATATATTACTAATCAGTATATATATTCTAACTTATTATAATTAATTTCTTTTTTAAACTTTTTTTTTTTTTAGCTTTTTAAGCAAATAAATTTATTGCTTTTAACTAACATAAAAAAAAACTAACAAATAAAATTAAAAAAAAAGAAAAAAACAGAAAAAAAAGCACTATATTGTTTAAATAAAAAACTAAAAGAAAAAAGAATTTAGAATTTAGTGTATGCTGCACTGCAGTGCATCTCTATAGCAAGTTAAACCTAATAATAAGATTAGTTAAGGCTAGAGTTAAGATTAGAGGTAGAGTTAGGATAGAGTTAGGATTTGGGTTAAGTAAAATTATAAGAAAAGCATTTTTACTTAGTTACATGACAAAGAGTTACTTTAGTAAAATTTTGAGATATAAATTAAAGTTAAGATTTGTTAGAGTTAGGGTTAGAGTTAGGGTTTAGATTAATATTAGGTAAAATTGTAAGAGAAATATTTTTTATTAGTTATATGACAAGGGTTACCCTAATAAAATTTTAAGATATAGCTAGAGATGCACTGCAGTGCAGGTGTATTATATTACAAAATTCAAAAAAAAAATATAAAAAAAACAAAAAAAAAAGCAATTTATAACAAATATATTATTATAACTTATGCTAGATTTAAAAAAAAATTATATAGAACAATTACTTGTATCAAATTTTCCATTAAAGAAAAACTATAACAACTTGTTAAAAAGATGTGGTCTATATAGTAGTTTGTCTAAAGATCAACTGCTTTTTTAAGAGACTTCTCTAAAAGAATGTTCAGTATACAAGTCAAGAGCATTATTATACAAAATAATTGGCAAGTAGTGCTTTTGTATAAAAAATCTTTGTGAAGTGTGGCAAAGGCCAACTTTGTCGTTAAAGCTATTAGGCTATTACTTTAAAAAAGAATACAAGGAAAACAACAAGAAGTTTTACTCTTTCAACACACTTGTTTAAAAATTTTGAAAAGTACTTGTAACTTTTTCTTTTTACTTCTGCCTTCCTACTAGTCATTTAAAATTTTTCTTAAAAAGTAAGAATTTGGTTTACTTCTTCAAAAGATTAGCATTGTTTATTTTTTCAATTTAGATGTACTTTGTAGAATACAATTACGTGACATGTTTATTTATAGTTATAGTGCTATTTTACAGAACATGGATCAGAATCTTGGAATCTAGTAGTTAAGAGATATCCAAGAGTGGCAAAATAGTCAAAAAAACTTGAAGTTTAGAATAAAGTCTTACAATTGAGATATACAATAGTTGCAGTTGCTATACAATTTTTATCAGCCTAGCATAAGTTATAATAGTGCTTTTTTTCTACTTTTTTGGTATTTTAAAGTTTTAGCAATTGGGTGTTCCTTTAGCCTTTCAAAAGACTATTGGTGGTAATGTTGCCTTTAATGGTGATCTGATCCTTTTTAAATTGAACTGTATCTACTAAGAAAGAATTTGCATGAGTGGATTTGGCCTAACAGCTTTGATTAAATAAACAAAAACTGCTGCAAAAGACAGTTAGAAGAGACATATTATAAAGTTTCTAATATTATAGATGCTGCCTTTCTTTTTTTTTTTTTTTTTTTTAATTCTTTGACAGTCTTGTCGGTGCTCAAATACAAATTATATTACTATTAGACTAA